GTAGTGTGATATCTGAACAATAGATGGCGTTATGTACGCGATGTATCGTCTGTTTGTTTACTATCATGAAACTTCACTTACTCAAAATAGTAGGAAATGTATTGTTTGTTTTTGCATGTTTTATACTTTATATTGTTTTAACTGTAGACCTTCTTTCATTAATACTTTCATTGATATTGACTTTAAATCAAATGATGAAATGTTGAACATAAATGTGTTTAGTATATCTTTGATTTAATGACAACAAAAATGAATAAAAGCACGAAGAATTTATTAATAAAATAAAAACCTATAGTCACCTTATAAACGTTATGCCGAATTATTTAATCGATTTGTATTTTAATAAATTGCACTTGCATCAACACCAAAGATATTTTCTGCAATAAAAGTGCATAGTATTTAAACGAAGAATTTTATGATGTCATGTAAATATGCATACACATGAAAATAATTACTAATGTTTTATTGTCTATTTTGAAAAAAAAAAAAAACAGTGCAAAACCTTGTTTTAATATATGTAAAGAAATCTGATTAGATAGAAGTTATTAAAGAATAGAATAATTATACAATTCCATGTAAATATATATATAATATAATATATATATATATATATATATATATATTATATATATTATATATATATATATATATATGTATATATACATATATATATATATATATATATATATATATATATATATATATATATATATATATATATATATATATAAAGTTATTATTTAATAGATATATATCAACTGAAACGAAACTTTTAAAACTAAAAATAATAATAAAATAAAATAAAAATCTATATCTTTGATTTAATGACAACAAAAATGAATAAAAGCACGAAGAATTTATTAATAAAATAAAAACCTATAGTCACCCTATAAACGTTCTACTTTCGTAGTTACATTTCTGAACAATAGATGGCGCTGTATGAAGTTTTGCGCCTCACAATTTTTAATCGGTGTGATACGTGCTTTCCTATCTTTCTTATGTAGTCTTTGGTTTGTAGCAGATGACGTATGAGGGAAACCAAATGAGCCAATTAGATTCGCGCGTGAACGTGACGTGAACATAGACACTCATTAGAACCAATCAGATATGGAATAGATCATGTGACAATAGAAGCTGGGCCTAGGAGAAGACAGTTGAAATTCAAATCAATTCCATCATGCCTATACAGTGTGTAGTTTGTGAAAAACAATTATTTAGATTTCGTCGCGAAATCTCACGGAAATAACGAAGCAAGCTTACTAAATCTACATCACGGTGTATTTCCAGTGGAAGTACAATGTCCGCACTGTAAGACACCGTGTCATTACAGAAAGGACAGATTACAGTGGGTTTGTGGTGCATGGAAAAGGATTAAAAAAACAAAACGAAGAAAACTGTGTAATTTTACTGTAAGCGATCGCAATTCCCGCCAACAACGACCTGGAATACCCCGACGATCCCAGTGACCCGCAACCTGGCCCGTCTGGAGTCAATGCTTGAGGTAAGATGGAGTTAAAACTGTTCCTTCCCAGGGCTCTCTAGTGCTAGAACATACGAGGTGAAGATTTTGCAGACCAGGCAGGGGTGGGGAGCGGTTTCCCCCATAAAAGAGGGTTTAAGGGGGCGGAACCCTCTATACAACCCGGAAGTGTGATGATATACTATGCTTGCTAGTAGTCTGCCGATATTTCTCGAAATTCCCTGATATGTACCGTGCCCTCCCCAAGCTATCACGACCGATATCGTAGTTATGCTTCATTTGCGAAGGAAATGAGTGCTAGATTCGTTCGAAACACGACGAAAGCTGTTGGAAAATTATTCTACACACAAAAAAAAAGTGTGGAAGAGGATGAGTCCAGAGAGGAAGGAGAGGATGAGTCCGTGGAGGAAGGGAGAGGATGGAAGTGCGGGGAGGAGGGGAGGATGGATGAGTCCGTGGAGGAAGGGAGAGGATGGATGAATCCGGAGAGGAGAGGAGAAAGAGGATAATTCCGGAGAGGAGGAGAGAGGAGGGAGAGAATACGTCCGTGGAGGAGGGGAGAAGATGAGTCCGTAGATGAGAGAGAAGATGAGTCCGGGGCATAAAAGAAGAGGAAGAGATATGTAATTTTTGTCATTCGTGTTTTCTTCTTTTCAGTCACTTGCTTTTTTGTCATTCTTCTTTTCAATCACTTGATTTTTTATCATTCATGATGTTTATTACACTTTCCTGTTTCTTTCGTTTAACCGTATTCCATGCACTTGCTTTCCCTCCCGCACTACCTTCCTCCGCAGGCCCCTTACAGCACAAAGTCTCCCGAGTAAATAAAGAAGTCACAGGAGGATGTTGTTCACCTTGGCAGGTCGGGAGGGAGCCAATGCAGGGTGGCAGGTGGCCCGGCAGGGTGGAAGGGGAAAGGGAGGGAGAAGAGAAAGAGATGGGAAGGGAAGGAGGGAGAAGGGGAAAAGGAGGAAGAAAAAGGTCCAAAAGTAGGCGAATATAAGAAGGGATAAAGAGAGGAGGGGGTGGGTGAGGAGGAATAACTAGAATTGGGAGGAAAGCGAGGAAGAGGGTATAGAAAGGGCAAAGGAAAATGGCTGGGGAAAGGGAGACAAAATAAGTAAGTTGAAGAGGGAAAGAGCAGAGAGAGAGAGAGAGAGAGAGAGAGAGAGAGAGAGAGAGAGAGAGAGAGAGAGAGAGAGAGAGAGAGAGAGAGAGAGAGAGAGAGAGAGAGACTCAAAGTGGGAGGAAAGTTGGAGGAAACGATTGAAAAGGAGTAAGAGACAGAAAAAGAGGAGGATGAGGTAGAGGAGGGGAAGAGCGAAGGGAAAGAGAAGAGATGGGGTAGAGGCATAGCATGTGAACCCCTGGCTTAGAGGAAGGAAGGGTAAAGTGGAAGGAAGGAGGCTCGAGTAAAGGCAAGGGAAGGGCTAAAAAAAGCGAACAAAATCAGGGATAGGGGACATAGGAAGGGAGAGCCAACAGTGTTCAGCTGGGAGTAAGGAGCAGGGGCTAGAGAATGGGAAGGAGATAGGGGAATAGTGAACGTGGGAAGTGGGAGGCAAAAGTGTTCAACTATGCACGCCGTTCGAGGTCCTAGGGGTCCATTGTGTAATTTTATCTTTTGTTTTTCTTCTGGTTGGTTGCCCGTGAGTCCTCCACCGGCTCCTTGTCGGTCCGATATTGCAGGTTTAAGGTCTTTTGGCCTTTGGATCATTCTTCGGTTTGCTGTGGTAAATATATGTGCTTAGACATACATACATATATATATATGTATATATATATATATATATATATATATATATATATATATATATATATATATATATATATATATATATACATACATATATACACACGCACGGACACATATATGTGTGCGTGTGTGTGTATGTGTGTGTGTATGTATCTAAGTGAACATCATATCAGAACATATCATATCAGGTGATATCACATCAGATCAGGTCAGGTAAGAACACACCATATCAGGTCAGGTCACATCAGAAGGTCAGAACACATCGGATCAGGTTAGGTAATATCACATTAGATCAGGTCAGAACACATCAAGTAGGGTCATATAACATCAGATTAGGTAATATCACATTAGATCAGGCCAGAACACATCAATCAGGTCAGAAAACCTCAGATCAGGTCAGGTCACATAAGATCAGGCCAGGCCACATCAGATCAGGTCAGATTAGATCAGGTACATGTTTTTTTTTATTATCTGTCACTTTATTATTATATTTATATTTACATATGGTAATTTTACACAATAGGTTTTAATGCTAATTGATCCCTCTCATTATCTAGTTTCTAAGATAAATACAAATCATTGCCCGAACCCCCCATTGGCGACAATCTTGGCCCCGAGAGCAGGGAAAAAGCATGGGAGGTACCAGGAAAATTACTGGGAGAATCATGAATAATATACACAGAATCAGTCACTCTATTGTCTTATGCAGGGGGGTGTTCTCTCTGCGATCCCCTAATATGCCAACCCCCGCAATGGAACACAAAGAATCTTCTAGGTATTCATGGTAGGAGAGAGAGCGTAGGAGCGCCAGTTGCTAAGTGTGTACGACCTTCTCTCCTGCCGTTGGTATGTGGAGGATTCTTAGCTTTCCTGGGCGGGTGTCGGGAAAGAGGCTAAGCCCCTTGTATTGTGTTTTTTTTTCATATTTTACCCGCAATTTCCATGTTTTTTTTCATATTTTACCCCGCAATTTCCATGGTACGGTATCTTCTATGCCCTCCCCTGATTTTGAGGACAGGAAGATTCGACATATATGGATAGAAGAGAGTAAGAGAAATCAATCGATACTAAAATCATCACGATCCGTTAAGCGGAACTATAATATAGAGATGATAAATAATGCTAATGATAATATAAGAAAAAATGGCAGTCCATGGATTATCTATAAAATAAAAAAATATACCATAAAATTTGATATCTTGATATCATAGAAAACGGATTATGTTTATGGGACACTATGCTAGAAATGACTACGCACTGTTTACCAGTTATCCCTCATCTTTGTAAGATTCTGTCTCAAATATTTATTTTACAAGAGCTTTCTCTTTTCTTACATCCTGATCACTGGAGATTGCAAAAATGTTGTCGCCCTATATATGTATATATATATATATATATATATATATATATATATATATATGTGTGTGTGTGTGTGTGTGTG